CTGGAGCAAACATTTTGTTCATCATCAAATCTAACTGCCTAATGTTATTCCACTGGCATTTGCTAATTCCACTGGAATAGCTGATACAGTCCGAATTCAATTTGACCTTGTAGATATCAAACTAAAATGACAGCTCACTAGCGCCATCCTGTCAATGTCAAAATAGTTTCACATATCGTGAAAAATAGGATGTCTATCGATTTAAAAAAAACATACTAATAATTATAAATGCGAAAGTTAAGATGGATGTTTGTTAGAGGTGAACCTAAACTGCTGAGCGGATTTCTATGACTTCTAGTCTATCCTCTATATCTATACGAAATTACGACATACGAACGAACACATAGGCTACTCATTTTTTAATTCCCCGCGTACGGAGTTGCCGGCGATAGTTAACTAGTAAAAAATAAAATAAAACAGTATTAATAAAGTCTTCAGTTTCTTTAAAAACTAAAGACAAAAAATATTTGCACAATTAATAAAATAAAAAATACATAAATAAAATCTCTTCTCGGCCACAAGGAGCTCTGCTGATGCGGCCTCCAGCTTGTCGCTGTCAGTTTAAGGCGCTGTTTTTTTAAATCTGTCAGAATGAGAAAAACGAGGGCAAAAAATGAGGGCATCAGGGAAATTTTGTAATTTACTTTAATTTTTGCCCTCCGGGTTAGAAAACTTACCGTTCTATACTTTAGCTGTATTATTTTGAGTGTGCTATTAGAATTATATTATATTATGAACAGAAAAAGTGTGATAAGCCCATCACCGAACCCAAAGCACCTGTCACTTTAGGGCTCACACATAAACCTGACTAAACCGTCGCAGGACTGAACGATTGTCGATTGTTTCGCAGCCAATTCTTTAGTTGCACAACTTAAAATCAAGTAGTGTGCGCTCCATATAATCTCATAGGAATCAAAGAGAGACTAAACAGTTGTGCGATAGTTTAGTTTCAGGTGTCCGTGCTCATAAACTTTTGTCTTTTGTTGTAGGAAAGCCTCATAACGGTTATCTACCCAGTGACGACTCGGTCTCTGGTCCCGATTACGTCGACGGACATGTCCATGAAGTGGTAAGTCACCATACAAATATATCTCACTAGCTTTTGCCTGCTACTTCAACCGCGTGAAATATAAAAATAATGAGAAAATATAGCCTATGTCACTAACAGATAAATTACCTTTGTAACGGTGAAAGTATTATTAAAATTGGCCTAGTAGTTTTTGAGCCTATTCATTACAATCACATAAACAAAGTTTTCCTCTTTATAATATTAGTATACATTGGTTGATGCCAACCATATCTGTTGCACAAATGGTTTACTGACCACAAAACACAGGCGTTAAGTTGAAGCAATTGGGAACGTATGAGTAGACATAGAAAGAGATGGATGGATTACGTGAAAAGTGACATGATCAAGGGAGTGACGGATATGACTGATGATAGAGTTATTTGGAGGACGAAAACTTATGTCGACCCTACGGGAGTAGGATAAGGTAGCCAGAAGTTAAACTTTAGGCGTCTTAGCCTGGGGTATTCTCGCCTTTATCTTATAAAGAAAGTTTAGGAATGGGAAAGATTTGACAGAGTAAAAGACATCTTTCTGCGCGGCCCCTCCTACGTGTCTTAAAGTAGCGCATTTACAAATACTGTTGTTTATAGGCAGTGTTCGTTTACTTAATTCGACGAATTCAGGCCGTTTCTGATATTAAAACACATGTTTCGTTTTTTTAAAGTGTGAAAGAGATGTCTATATATTTCTCTATTATTTTTTCGTACAAATACAAGACAAATAAATAAACACATTTCAAACATTTTTATCATAATTTAAATAAAACAATTACATGATTAAGTACCTCGTTTCCTTGAAATGTTATACAAAACATAAGAAGTTATCGGTTTTAACCTATAAATGCTATCATCCGACGAATAAAAAATGTCACCATAATCTCCGAATATTATACTGCGAGGACGGAAACTTAAATCGGCAACTTTATGCGCAGTACCATTAGCGCAATCAATCTCTTGTACCCCATCATCTGTTATTGCATAAGTTTTATTTAAATCTACTATAAAATTATATGCAACATTAATATCTTTATTTTTAACAATCTCATCACCTTTTACTGCACAAAAAACACCACAGATAGTCAAAAAATGCACATTTTTATTACCATCGATGTCAAAGTTGATCACAGTTTTTGCGTTACCCAATTTTCTTACTTCCTTACCGTTTACTTTATACAACATATGATTATTTGCATCTATTATATACATATTATTATCTCTAATAACAATTTTTAATACATTAACATTGTATAAACCGATATTTCTAGCGGAATTTGTCAGCGGATCGTAGATATACAAGCCATCGTTAGAACCGAAGTAAACTTCGCCTGTGTCCGCATCGACTGCTGTCGCTTTATTCCTTGTTATTCCTTCTATTTTCTTTGATTCCTTTGTTATAATATTAATGTAAGCTCTTCCAGAATTCAATAAAACAGGATCCATGTGCATGAAGAAAAGATTTCTCGTCGCGGAATCGTACGCCAACTCAATCGGATCTTTGTATATGTTTGTTAGTAATTCTTTCTTGTACAACCTTGGTCCGATCCATTCTATTGGTCCGTCTGTTAAAATTACCACTGATTTTGCCTTTATTAACACTATTAATAATTGAATTATTATTATATTTCTCATGTTTGTTACGACTTACATTTTCCGCGTTTATATAACGACTGTTATTTGGTTTGTTATCTTAAGGTTATTATAACTGTTTATTTATTGTAGAAAGGTTAGATAGATCATTATTATAGTTTTATTATTTACTAGCTATCGCCCGCGACTCCGTGCGTGTGGAGTAAAACATAAGTAAGTGACTATGTGTTCTTTCAATTCTCTACGTCTATGTCAAATTTCATCGAGATCCGTTCAGGAATTTAGGCTACAAACTCTAACAAACATCCATCTAAACTTTCGCATTTATAGTTTGTCTAAATAAGATAGATTAGTTTGAAAATTCAGTAGGGATGGGTTGTGCAAAATCAGGTGTGAATCTTTTCGATTTTCGATTTTGACTCTCATAGAACATGGAATAAATAGATTCATAATTATAACTTTTGAATAAAAATAAAAAAAGACTGTTTCTCAAATCAATAATGACTATAGAACCAAAAGAAAAAATGTGAGTTAAAAAAATGTATTACTACTACAGTTGCACATAATCCATTTGGATTTTGCTATTATTGTCATCGCTATATTCTCTACACAATAATTATTAGAATTGTCCCCTAAGTTAGTCAATCTATACTAATATAATAAAGCATAAACACACACTACATTGTGGCGCAGGATGTCAGCAATCACAGCATATTTTTGAATAATATTTTCTTTAACAAAAAGCCCTACACTTACGAAACGCTTTAGGCTATATATTTTCACGCTATTAAACTTAGTTGGTAAATAAATTGGATAAAAATCCTAATGTGGGAAAGAGACCATAAGTTGCTGCCAACATCAAGGAATCAAGATTGCCATAGATTGTCATCATGTCATGTCATTTTGACATTTGCAATTGATAAATTGACAAATGTAAACGATAAAATGAAGTATTTATAAATACCTGCGGATGACGCCGCATGAGAAAAGCTAGTAATTATATAATAATGGTAGTTAAGTTTGTTAAATTTTATTTAAACCGAATATCGATAGTTCATAATTGTTGGCTGCGTGTTCGTCACTACGATACCTGTCTATTAAGTACGGCTTTTCCTTCATACAAATATAATTCGATTCTTCATATGCGTCGTTTGTCAAACTAATCTATATTCTTACAAACTATAGTGAAAAGTAAAAATAATGCGTCTGTTATCTTTGTTCATTTTTCTTAAAATCATTCTCAAAGTTAGTGTTTAGATATATTCCATTGAAAGAGCGTAGCGTAAAACAGAGCAGTTTTTATTACAAACGAAATTGAGCTTTAAACCATTACAATAAGGTTCGATTTTAATTTAAACGATTTTCGCTTGCTTCTAACAAGAGATCTAAGGTAAAAGTGAACCTTAACTCAATCGAATAAAGCTAAACTTTACTTGTGATAAAAATTTGCTCTGTTCCGCTCCGCTGTAGAAACAACCAGAAACATATTCGTCTCTTTCACTCTACATAAACACTGCAACAATACATTTTCGTTAACGTCTAGTGACAAATATTTTAACATAATACACCTACAGATTTAAAGAATACAAAGAGTCCATTTATACAAAATGAAATGTCAAAAGCAATCAACAATTTAACGTCAAACTTATGTGTAATTTATAGGTTATGTTATACGCAAATTATGACACGAATAAGAACATAATTAACATTTTATTCTTAACCAATATTTATCCGCCACAATTCTTATCTTTATTCGCTTTTAGATAATAAACAGACGTGGCGTCGGAATAAACAATATTATTACTAGCGTCAAAAGCGACACCAAAAGCGTCATCAATTTCCAATATCTGTTCCAGTACGCCAGTAGCTGTATTAATCTTGTATATACCATCTTCAAAACACGCATAAACGTATCCTTTGATGTTTAGAGTTAAGCCTCTTACTTTATCACCATTTTCCAATTGTTGATATAAATATGCGTCTTTACTACCTTTCGGTTGACTATAAAGTCCTGTCGCATTTGTATAAAACATTACTTCATTATCATCAATAACAAAATGTATTATTTTCATGTAATCCAAATCCTCAACACGTGACTTTTCATCATACGTTAAATTATACAAGAATTGTTCCGGGAAATCTGAATAATACAACACACCATTCTTGTAGAATATCTCCCAAATATCTGATTCCAAAACATCGAATGGTTCTGCTTTATTCGTCGCATAATCGTATTTGTAAATACCTTTTGCAGTACCAATATAAACTACATGTTTTTTTTGATCTACTGTGTGCACAAAACCGTTCTCTACATCGATTTCTGAATACTCTTTTGTGTTAAGATTGATCTTAAGACTTTTAAATACATCATCAGTTGGTTGGAGACTGTAACTGAAATACAGTATATTTGTGCCCCAGTCTATAGCCAAGGAATATGGACGATCTAAGTTAGTTTTTAGTAACTCCCTTTCGTAATAAGTGCCGTTTATAGATATCCCATCACATTCTTCGTTACTAACCGCTGCTCCTTTTATGGTGACGACCAATGCGAGAAAAAACAACAATTTCATTTTTATCTGAAATACAAAAAATGTTAATTAAAACCTCGACTCTTTACTAATTTTTTTTTTAGATAGCACGAACATTTCTAAGAAAGTAGTCAATAATAAAATACGAGAGTTATTAACGTAGTTTAATCTTTATAATGCAAACATTAATATTATAAATAAAGTTTAGGTAGATGTTTGTTAGAATTTGTAGCCTAAACGGCTGAACGGATTTCGATGAAATTTGACATAAATGTAGAGGATAGTATGAAAGAACACATAGGCTACTTACTTTTTTAATTCTGCGCGGACGGAGTCACTGGCGAAAGCTAGTGTTTAGACGATATTTGAGATAAATCTCTCTAACAAGTTTTCGTGGTATCACACTATGGAATTGTTTTAAAATTGATTTCTCGAAATTAAGAAATTAAAACAAACACCTAAAGAATTTTTACTATTACAACACTGTGGTCAAAGACTAATTAAAAACAGACACGACATTGAATTTAAATTTAAACTTAACTTTAAAATAAATGAGATAAATTCGCATTTATATTGAACTAGCTTTCACTCGCGATTCCGTCCGCGTGGATTAAAAAAAATACAAAAATAAGTATCCTATGTGTTCTTCCAGACTGCTCTATATCTACGCCAAATATCATCCAGATCCGTTAAGCCATTTAGGCTACAAACTCTAACAAACATCCATATAAACTTTCACATTTATAATATTACTAAGATTTGATAACTCGTACTTACGCGTGTACATTACCCTCGTAACCGTCGGGTAATTGCACTTTACACGACTGGTTTAAAATTACACGAAGACTTTTATTACGGAAATTAATAGTTATTTGTATACATACCTGTATTGTTTAATAATAAATAACTATAATAGTAAGGTATTTATATTTATTGTATAAAACGCAGACTATTCCTTTCTGTTGTTAGTCCATAACTAAACTGGAATCTGTACAAAAACAATTTTCAATGTCGTTTAAGATTGCAAAAGGTATGGAGTAGTACCACTTAAAATTATTAAATTGTAATATCAAGGGTCAAATATTTGAAAAGGAAATAAAATACGAAATTTAAATTATCTGAATATTTGAATATTTCTTGGTGAAATTACAAAAACCTTATAGATAAGTGATTTTGCTTCTTTAAAGGTAAAAGAAAACAGTAATTTGCAACCAAAAGTTAATATAATTGACATAGATCAAATAAATACTTTCTTAATTCTAAAATAGATACTTTTTTTTAGATTACTTTTCATTTTTTTAATAATAAGAAAATTTTTGCGACACCGGATCGTAAACAAAAAAATTAACATTGTCTCCATTACAATTTCTGTTCCGTAACCTGTTCCTTTACGTTCAAAGTTTATCTCATTAGATTATATTCACAAGATGTTTGGATTTATTAACTTAATTTATTGTAATAAAAATACAATTTAATTATACTAATATTATAAATGTGGAAGTTTATATGGATGTTTGTTAGAGTTTGTAGCCTAAACTTCTGAACGGATCTCGATAAAATTTGGCATAGATGTAGAGGATAGTCTGGAACACATAGGCTACTTGGTATTGTTTTTTTTAATACCACGCGAACGGAGTCGCGGGCGAAAGCTAGTGTTAAATTGAAAGCCCGGTTTAAATCCTGATTCGTCGTTTTCCTTTACTTTTAACAATTTTGAGGTTAACTTTTTACTTTTAAAACTTAATTGAATTTCGTGAAAAGGTTTACACTATTTGTTCTTATGAATATAAAATGTCTTACTTAATTTGCAACCAGGATAGGGAAACTCAGGTAAGTGGACTGTATTATGAAAATTGTAATCTTCTCTATCCTCGAATCTTAAATTGTAGAATCAATTGAACTTTCGGTAACTTAACCTTCATTTATACTTCAACTCTGAATTGTCGGATCGCTTCTGTTTCTCAAACTCACCATGCCATAGACGATCTCCTCCTTATTGTTAAACATTAGAGTTTGTTATAAGATCACCCATGTGAGTTAAACTCCTTTTAATTATTAGCAGCTGTAGAATACTCTAGATGCCTGTCATCATTTGCTCATAGCGTGCGCGAATGCGTGTGTACAATGATGAAGACTGCTTCCTTG